GGTAGTAAAAAAAAAAAGCTAGCGGTAGCTTTTTAAATGTGCAGCGCTCGCTTGGCGCGTAGCACACATATGCGGCCAGCGAACCAATAGCAAACCGGTTCAGATTTCACCACTGATGCTGACTCTGTAAACTGCTTAGAAAGGCCTGTAATAGCACTTTGAAGCGGTATATAAGTCTAAGTTCCATTGCTATTATAAATGAAAATTAAATAAGAGATGCGACATTTAAATAAAAGTAGCCCAACTCTTATTTTTGTATTTCAAAAACTAGGGGCATGTTTGTTTATGTATTTTTTTTTTAAAAAAAAGAGCTTTAATCTTTTTAAAAGAGCTTTCTTCAAAAGAATGACATTCTGTTTGTTTAGAGGTAATCCTTTACACATGGAAGGTAACTAATATCAGTTATTTATTTCATGAAGATATCAGAAAGCCTTGAGTCTCTCAAAATAATTCCTTGCAGGATTGTGGAAGTTCCTGATTTCCTTCACTGGTTTCAAAATGTTGGTGGTGTGGAGCTGGCAGCGGAGTCGGACAGCGATGAGGCTGAGGAAGGACATGGGCCAGTTCTGGAGGCAGGGGAAGGCCCGGATGAGGGCTCTGCGTCAGAGGCAGAGATGGGGCCAGGGCCATCGGGGAGTGATGCGCGGACTTCAGAGCCTCCAGAGGCTGACAGTAGAGAGGCAGAGGAACAGGAGGAACCTGTTCTTAATGCACGCATGAGAAGAGCTGCCAAAAGGCAAGAGCAGCTCAAGCAAAGAGGACGACTCGGGAGTAGGGCAAAGAGATGATTGGCCCCTCCCATAAGCCTTAAAACAGACCAACAACGGCGTTTGGGCTTTGCCGGAAAACAACATTGGTAGCTTCGTCTTCTTCTTCGTCTACGTCTTGTATTTATTTTTGTATCTGTGACTTCTGAACGTTTGCCAAGAAAGGCCTTTGGCAATTTGCCTAATTGGACCAAGGTTTGTGATAGGACTGAGGAATTTGTGTTGGGAGCGCTTCAAGGTTTTGGTTACCACCTTTAAAGCGCTCCATGGCTCAGGACCTGGGTACTTGCTGGACCACCTACTACCACCAATAACCTCCCACCGACCGGTACGCTCTCATAGAGAGGGGCTCCTCCGGGTGCCGTTGGCCAAACAATGTCGACTGGCGGCCCCCAGGGGGAGAGCCTTCTCTGTGGGGGCACCTACTATCTGGAACAAGCTCCCCCCAAAGGTATGGGGGATCCCGGATCTGCGCACCTTCCGCCGCGCTCTAAAGACCTTTTTATTTCACCAGGCGGGCCTGGCCTAACTTTCTCCCTCTTTTTAAACAATTTTAATATTTTAATATTTTTAATATCTTTTAATTTTCAAAGTTTAAATCTGTTTTAAATTGATTGGGGTTTTAAACTGTCTGGGCCAAATTATTTAATTTGATTTTATTTCTGTTTTTTAAGTGTCACCCCCCTGTGCCCCATTTTTGGCCTGGATGGCCTCCAGCAGCACTCTACCAGCCAAAAATGGGCCATGCAGAGGCCTCCCGTGGCCTGTTTTGGCCGGCAGAGGCACTGTAGGCTGGTACTTTGATATTTCCAGGCCGGCCCCATGGGCCAAATTTAAGCACCCCGTGGCCCTTGAGTTTGACACCTCTGAGCTAAGGGAAGGGGTATCTGTTATTCTAGATGGTCTGTTAAATCAGAGATTATGTCTTCTGCAGCTAATGTTATTATTATGTAAAAGATGTAAGGTATGTCATCTGTGTATTTGGTGTTGTGACATCGTGATGCAATGCAAACGATGTCAATGCAACAAGAATTTATCCCGTTGCATCCACAGTCCATTGCGCTGAGGTCCACTTGATCAATATTTCACTGTTCATTTTATGCACTCAGCCAAAATACCATGAAAAAAATTGCCAATTTGGTCTAGCGCTTAAGGCACCAGGCTAGAAACCAGGAGACTGAAAGTTCTAGTCTCACTTTAGGCATGAAAGCCATCTGAATGACTTTGGGGCACTCGCCTTCTCCTAGCCCAACTCACTTCACAGGGTGGTTGTTGTGGGTCAAATAGGAAGAGGAAGGAGTATTGGATATGTTTGCAACTTTGAATTATTTATAAAATAACGGGATAAAAAATCTGCTGTGGTCCGCCAGCAGCCTGCAGAGCTGGCAGTGGAGTTGGACACTGAGGAGGCTGGGGAGAACAATGGGCCAGTCCTGGAGTCAGGGGAAGGCCCGGATGAGGGCTCTGTGTCAGAGGCAGAGATGGGGCAAGGGCCATCTGGGAGCGATGCACGGACTCCATTGCCTCCAGAGGCGGATAGCAGAGAGGCAGAGGAACAGGAGTAGCTGGTTCCTAGTACATGCATGCAAAGAGCTGCCAGAAGGCAAGAGCAGCTAAAGCAAAAAGGACAACTCGGGAGTAAGGCCAGAGATGATTGGCCCCTCCCAGAAGGCTTAAAAGAGCATCAACAGCTCTTGGGATCTTTGTAGGAAAGCAACATTGCTACATTTGTTTCTTGTCTTGCTACATTTGTTTCTTGTTGGTGTCTCTTGCTTCGGAATGTCTGCCAAGAAAAGCCTTTGGCAGGATGCCAAAGTAGACAAAGGTTGGTGATAAGGCCGAAGGATTGTTTATGAACTTAATTCATAACATAACATAATTTGTTTTGGACTTAATTTGGACTAAGCTGAGAATGAAGTAATTCTCAGCTGTTCTAATAAAATATGTTTGTTTAGGACTAATTGTGCCTGGTAATAACTACTTGGGCCTAGGTCACAACAAAATCTAACCCCAACCTCACCCCTTACACACAACAGGACTGAGCATTTTTTCACTTTCTCTCACGAAAATGAATATTCCACCTTTCAAAACAGGCTACCCTGGAGACTTTCACAACAGGTATGCAAACTCAGCCATCCAGACATCTTCTCTTCTGTCAAATGATTCTTTGCTTCCTATCCTGTAGCCTTTTGTCCTTCACGGTTTGCAACCAGAACCCAACACATTGAAAACATCTGGTCTATAACTGAGCTCTATTCCTGGTACTTCTTTAAACCGAGGAATTCAGTTCCTTAGAAGGGGGAGAATCAAGGCGCCCAAATATTTATTATACATGCTGCAGTATGGAACGATTGCCTGGAGGATATAGGTTTATCATGCAAATGAATTCTGTGAGTGTCTCCTGGTTGGGTTTCCATCTGTTGTCCTCACTGGGTCTCTCCAGGAGCCACCTGTTTAGCTATTTTGCTCACGTTCGGTTCAGAAAAATCTGCTAATGGTATACAGCAGAGCTGTTCTCCGATAATTTTCTCATTGAGAAAACAGCAGTTCTAATAAATGGAGACCAGGAAATGTCAGAGTAATGCTTAGGAGCTGTAGAGTGTAGAAATAGGGGTGGGCAACCTATGAACCAGTATGGGGCCCGATAAGCTCTTGCTCTCACAGCCCTTCCCTGAATTATTTTCTTAAAATTAGCGGAACAATTTTGTTCCCTTTAAATGAAATAAGCAATCGCTCCACGTTTTGAAAAGCGCCAACAAACGGAGCAGTATAGCAAGGGCGGGAAAATGAGAAATAATTTTAAGATCAGTGAAGTCATAGGGGAAAAAAATGTAATTAAGAGAAGAACATACAAGACTAATAATGGGAGCAACCTGATAGAAATTAAAGGAAAATGAAAACGATCCTAAACCTCTTTACAAACAGTATGAAAAAAAACAAACAAACATTTGTAGCCATATACTATACATCTAGACCAGGGATGTCAAACTGAGATCTGGCTTGCGGATCTGCCCTGGAAACAGTGAAGGACTGGCCCACAGTGCCTCTGTCAGTGAAAACGGAGCTCGGGAGGGCCACACACAACCCTCCTGAGCTCTGTTTCACTGGCACAGGGTTGCAGGAGGCCATCACAGCCGAAAATGGAGCTTGGGACCCCATTTTCGCTGGAAGAGCACCTGGGCCGTCACAGGAGCACCTGTCATAAGTGACGTTGAGCTGGCCATGCCCACTGATGAAGGAGATATAAGAGAATAGTCAAATCACCATCCATTGCACCGATTCTTCAAGCAAGGAAAGTTTTGCTTGCGTCCCTAGAGTGAAACACAAAATGAAAGGCAGATTTCATGAAAGGCAGAAGGATGTGAGCTTGAGGAGTAACATAGAATGGAAAAAATGTAAAGAGCAAGAGAATATAAGAGGTAGTTTTAGTTTATGTTTCAGTAACCACAGCAAGGTCTGGTCAATCACGCCACAAAATGAAAAAATAAATAAATAAATAGCAAACAAGAGCAATGGATTATTTTTCTGAGGAGTCTTTGCACTAACAGAGAAGGAACCATAAGGATGGGATATGGAGAAGCAACATTTTTCACAATAGAAAAGAGGGTAAGACAAGCTTGGTTATTTAGAATAGAATAGAATAGAATAGAATAGAATAGAATAGAATAGAATAGAACAGAACAGAACAGAACAGAACAGAACAGAAGAATGGAATGGAATGGAATGGAATGGAATGGAATAGAATAGAATAGAATAGAATAGAATAGAATAGAATAGAATAGAATAGAATAGAATAGAATAGAATAGAATAGAACAGAACAGAACAGAACAGAACAGAACAGAAGAATGGAATGGAATGGAATGGAATGGAATGGAAGGTCTTCTAGTCCAACCCCCCCGCTTAGGCAGGAAACCCTACATTACTTCAGACTAATGGTTGTCCAACATCTTCTTAAGAACTTCCAATGTTGGAGCATTCACAACTTCTGGAGGCAAGTTGTTCCACTGATTAATTGTTCTAACTGTCAGGAAATTTCTCCTTAGTTCTAGGTTGCTTCTCTCTTTGATTAGTTTCCACCCATTGCTTTTTGTCCTACCCTTTGGAGAATAGCTTGATTCTCTCTTCTTTGTGGCAGCCCCTGAGATATTGGAACACTGCTATCATGTCTCCCCTAACATATCTTCACTGAATATTATATTTACAATAACTTGTGTTATATTCTTGTGTTACAGCAGGACTGAAAGAGATGGCACTGAAATCAAAATTGAAGACACTGTTTGGAGCTGAAGGGAGGGGAGAGCTGAGGAGGATGGAGCCTTCAACCAAAGCTGTGTCAAACTGAATTCATATTAGAGTAACCAAGGAAATAAACAATCCTGCAACCTGATCAGATTCAGGCTCGACACATTAATGATTTGAAACATGCAGATAATATCATTTTGTCAACTCAAAAGAAAGCAAGTTTATAATTGGAAACTGAGAGTTAAAAAAAAAATGAAAATTCAGGCTAATACTACCTTGGAAAAATACAAAGATAATGTCAACCGGCATTCTCATTAAATTGGTAGAAAAGTGAACACGGCAGATAGATTGATTTTTCTTGGGCTCGGCAGCAGATAAAGATGGAGCCTGTGCTGGAGAAGAGATGATTAACTCTAAGGAGGAAGATAAAAAACAAATTTAGAAAAGATCATGAAAGCCGAGGATATTTTAATGACAGCAAAATTCAATACAGTTAAAGCATGTTAAAGCAATGTATTCCCAGTGGCAACGTACTGAGAACAAAAGGAAAGAAAAGGTAGATGAATTATGAATTTGGAGATGGGCCCTACAATAGATCATAAGAGGAGACGGTCAATCAGTTCTGGCTCAAATGAAGATTGGCTGCTCCCTTGAGATGTTCTTCAAGAAGCAGAAGCAGAAGCTATTGTTACAAGCAAATTATGGACTAGAATCAATGATGACAAATGTAGTAGATGGGCAAGATCTTGGAGATGTACTTATTTATTAAATTTGTATGACACCCATCTCACTAGCAAATGTGATTCTGGGAGGTTTACAATAAAACGAGCCTTGGTAGTACAGTGGTCTAAGGCACCCTGTTATTAAGATGGTTATTAGGACCAGCTGCCTGCAATTACTGCAGGTTCGAATCTCGCCAAGGCTCAAGGTTGACTCAGCCTTCCATCCTTTCTAAGGTAGATAAATTGAGGACCCAGTTTGTGGGGGCAATAAGCTGACTTTGTATAAATATACAAAAGGATGAAGGCTATTGCTTAACGCATTGTAAGCTGCACTGAGTCTCCGGAGAAGGGCGGCATATAAATCAAATTAAAAAACAAAAAACAAAAAACCACAAATATAAAAAGATTAAAATTAGCAGGAATTAGGAAAAAACTAGAAAACCAAGAGTATAGTGGTGAGATCTTATTATCCATCAGCATACAGTACCCTCATCAGGGCCACAAGACAACCAGCAGAGTCAGGTTTTAATGCCCTTCTGGAAAGCCAAAAGGGTAGTGGTAGACTCACCTCCAATGGCAAGATGTTCCAAAGGCTGGGGGTCATGGCAGAAAAAGGTTCTTCTCCTAGACCCCATCAGCTGAAATTCCTTGACAAACGGGATTTTCAGCAGGCTCCTTCTGCAGAACCAAGTGGTGTGTGGGCCATTGGGGTGAGTCGGTTCCTCAGATAACTTGGTCCATGCCATAAAGATTATTAGCAGCACTACAAGTCAAAAATAATGAGCATTTCTCCATACGGAGTCCAGGAATCAACCCAGTTCAGTTGAACTGAACTTCTCATGTAGACTTGCTTTTTCTTTTAAAAAAAATGGAGGATATCATCGTCGTCATCATCGTCGTCATCATTATCATCGTCATCATCGTCATGAAAGAGTGCCTAATTTATAATCTAGGCATAATGAGCCACGGTGGTGCAGTGGTTAGAGTGCAGTACTGCAGGCTACTTCAGCTGACTGCAAATCTGCCTGCCAGATTTGAATATGGCAGTTCAAATCTCACCAGGCTCAAGGTTGACTCAGCCTTCAATTCTTCCGAGGTGGGTAAAATGAGGACCCAAATTGTTGGGGGCAATAGGCTGACTCTGTAAAAAACACTTAGACAGGGCTGTAAAGCAGTGGTGGGATTCAGCCAGTTCACACCTATTCAGGAGAACCGGTTGTTAACTTTCTAAGCAGTTCAGAGAACCGGTTGTTGGAAGAAATCTTATTTTGTTTTTTTCCACTTTACAGGGCTAATCCTGTAAGGAAGGCAGGAAGGAAACATTCTGGTGTTGTTTCTAGCCTAAACTTTATTGCCTTGCTTACAGAAACTGCCTCTCTGGTTAACCCTTATTACATTGTAACAGCTAAGGCGAAGTGCCCATCGACGTGAGTGATGTTGAGTTGGCCACACCCACATGGTCACATGACCACTGAGCCACACCTACCCAGTTGGTCATTAGGGCAGAGTACCGGTTGTTAAATTATTTGAATCCCACCACTGCTGTAAAGCACTGTTAAGTGGTATATAAATCTAAGTGCTATTGCTATTGCTATAATTACTATAAAACCCTCCAAGTGTTTTGCATGACAGATCCCAAGAGACCCTTACCAATTGGTCGTGATATCTTGGACAGATGAGAATTGATATTTGTGACATTCGAGGGCAATTTCTTGTACTGAAAACCTCACCAAATTGATAGGATTCGAGGACTGCTGCACCAAATGTGATCAGGAGGGATTATTTGTTATTTATCGAGTGACAAGTGTTCCAGTTTTGCAAAGCAGGATCAGAGGTGGGTTTCAGCAGGTTCTGACCAGTTCTGGAGAACCGGCAGCGGAAATTTTGAGTAGTTCAGAGAACCGGTAGTAAAAATTCTGACTGGCCCCGCCCCCATCTATTCTCTGCCTCCCAAGTCCCAGATGATCGGGAGGAAATGGGGATTTTGCAGTAACCTTCCCCTGTCACGCCCACTAAGCCACGCCCACTAAGCCATGCCATTCCACACCCACCAAGCCACACCCACAGAACCGGTAGTAAAAAAATTTGAAACCCACCACTGAGCAGGATGTATACCTTAGCACATTGTATGGACCTAGCCCATTGTGTCTTATAAACAAACCATGGTTAAATAAATCGGGATTAGTATGAGATGTGAACACATTTAGAAAAGCAACTCCATATATTTATGATTATTTTTTTTTAATCCACCATCCACATCAGCTAAAAAATCAAGCTTGGAGATTTCCTGATTGGAAGGAAAGCAGTTTGGAGGCTAATATATTTTTTTAGTCTGTGGGTTTTCTTTTCCTTTGTCTGCAGAAGAAGCCAGGAGTAACAATTGGTCTAATAATACTAAGGAGGAGGAAAATTATTTTCTGTTCTCTTATAAACCCTGGAGGAATATAAGCATAATGATGAATCTTCAAGTGCATGGCTGTAACTAGGAATATAGGTGGAAACTGTGCATCTTATGAATAACTCATAACACATCAATAACTGTGCTATAAAATCTGTATGCAAAAGGACCCTGGTTCTTTTGTTTCCAACAGCTAACATTTCTCCTCCCTAATAATTCCAGTGCTAGACGAGAAATGATCCATTGATGCCTGGGTGAACCTCATTCCCATCACTCAAAACGAATAGATAGATTGACACAAATAAACTGCTCACAATGAACTGTGGCCGAGATCCTTTTCTCCACCAATTCAAGACCTACAAGATGAGGTTCCTTCCTCTACAGCATAATCTTATGTATAATAACAGAATAACAAAGTTGGAAGGGACCTTGGAGGTCTTCTAGTCCAACCCCTCCTCAGGCAGTTCAAAGTGACAACAGTCTGTAGAGATTCTCAGTCATCCAGGTCATGTCACCAGGTTGGGTCACCTTGTCCCAAAGATGCTTTTTTTCAAGAGGCAACTGGACTTTCTTGTTTTTTCCTTTGAAGATGTTTCGTTTCTCATCCAAGAAGCTTCTTCAGCTCTGACTGGATGGTGGGGAATGGAAGGATTTATATTCCTTGCAGACCCCTGGTCATTTGCAACCTTGGACCCTGAGGATACAGATAAACCTCCAAGTGCTTCAACAACCCATTTAAAGGAGTTGAAGTCCACAAGTCTTAAAGTTGCCAAGGTTGGAGACCCCTGAACTAGAATGCAAGAGACTGTGTTCTAGTCCTGTGTTAGGCATAAATTCTGCTGGGTGTTGTTGGGCCACGCTCATCCTAGGAAGGAGACAATGGCAAACCAATTCTGAAATATATATATATATTGCCAAGAAAAATACAGGGACTAAACCAGGCATTTGCCATAAGTCAAGACTGACTCAAAGACACAACAACCATAGCAGAATTTATGTGAAGCCACTGGGTGAGATCATCCGTGGTTTCGGGGTGAAGTACCATCAGTATGCTGATGACACTCAGCTGTACATCTCCACCCCGGACCACCCCAAGGATGCCCTTGAAGTGATGTCCTGGTGCCTGGAGGCCATGCGGATCTGGATGGGGAGAAAAAGACTCAGGCTCAACCCATCCAAGACCGAGTGGCTGTGGTTTCTGGAGTCCCGATATAGTCAGTTGGTGCCATCACTGACTATTGGGGGCGAGTTGTTGGACCCCACGGAGAGGGCTCGCAACTTGGGTGTCCTCCTGGATTCACGGCTGTCTTTAGAAGAGCATTTGACGGCTGTGGCCAGGAGGACTTTCTATCAGGTTTGCCTGATCCGCCAGTTGCATCCCATTCTGGATCGGGATTCCTTACGCACGGTCACTCATGTCCTCGTCACTTCCCACCTGGACTACTGTAATGCTCTCTACATGGGGCTCCCCTTGAGGAGCACCCGGAGGCTCCAACTGGTCCAGAATGTGGCCGCGCGGGTGCTTATGGGAGCGACGTGGCATTCCCATGTAACACCTCTCCTGCACGAGCTGCACTGGCTCCCGGTGGTCTTCCAGGTGCGCTTCAAGGTCTTGGTTACCACCTTTAGAGCGCTCCATGGCTTAGGATCTGGGTACTTACGAGACCGCCTTCTGCCACCAGTAGCCTCTCACTGGCCAGTACGCTCCCATAGAGAGGGGCTCCTCAAGGTGCCATCGGTCAAACAATGCCGACTGGTGGCCCCCAGGGGGAGAGCCTTCTCTGTGGGGGCACTTGCCATTTGGAACGAGCTCCCCCCAGAGATAAGGAGGATCCCGGATTTATGCACTTTCCGCCGTGCCCTCAAGACCTTTTTATTTCAACAGGCTGGCCTGGCCTAACTTCCTTTTAATTGTTAATTTTAAATTTGTTTTAAAACAATAGGGGTGTTTTAATCTGTATGGGCCAAATTATTTAATGTGCTTTTACATTGTTTTTTTTTAAATTTTGTATTATGTGTGTTTTA